GTATACACAACCACTGTTCACTTTGTTTTTTTTCACTCGACCGAAACGAGAGGTTGTGTGTTTCCGCCCTCATTCGAACATTGTTGGTAGGAAAAATTTTGTGTTCTCACTCAGGTCCGCTGCTACTTATTACTTCTTACTTGTTGTTATGTCTCATAGTTATTTAAAATTTACCCGCATTTTTTAATAATTATTTCGAACGTTATATTGTCGACATGATAAAAACATTATATTTCCAGAAATAAAAACATGTCATGGGGTTCATTTACAAAATGCATTTTGTGATAATGGACTTGAACAATTAAATTAAAATCAATTAAGTTATTATATTTTATTTTTTTTATTAATATAGATATGAGAAATAATGTACTTAAGTACTATTAAAAATATACAACAAAAATTCTAATCTCGTACTCCATAATGCAGTCTGGAAATGCCTACAAAGTAACATTGACTGTTTGCTTATACCTAACTCATAATTTATTATTTTATATACGTACAACTTAATTTTGGTAAATTACTTTTAACTTTTTCCAATACCATTGACCAAGACAGCTGTTTTTAATTTTAAACAGAACATAATACATTATTATAGCGTAATACGACTTCAGTATTTACTATTTACTTTACGTTTACTTTCATAAAGCATAAATTGCAGTTAAATGTTTTTTTTTAACAGAATATGTATTTAAAGTTAAAATGTCTCCAGTAGCCGAGTACATAATATTTAACTGTATATCAGTATGGTAGATACATTTTAACTAAGTACGGGTTATGCATTAAGAGGATGCCGCACCCGCATATGTTATCTCTGTCTTACATACATACAACAGCAAATTTTCATTCGCAGAATCCATTTTATGTTGTTAGCTTTAACATTAGAGTAAATTTACCTATTATCAAACTTATAGATAAGAATTTTATCTAAGCAATGACTTAGGGTTTTATTGATATTTTAATTTTAAGCTGAGTTATAGCTATATAAAATATTGAAACTTAAAAACGCTCATAACTCACTTTAAAATTATAATATTAATAAAAGCCTTTATCATTGCATAGATGAAATGCTAAAATTTAAATTTTATGGTAGGTAAATTTACTCTAATGCTAAAGCTAACAACATGAAATGGATTCAGTTGAATGAAAATTTTCTATGTTGTGTATGTATGTAAGACAGAAAACACAAGCGGGTGCGGCGTCCTCTTAATGACATCTGAACTATATGTAGGTATTAGTTCATTAATGGTATTTTACGCATATTAAAAACTGAAAAAAATCATATAGTCTGATTTAAATATAAAAAGTAGTGATTAATTAAAATTAAAAACAAAATAATATTATAGATCGAGATGTTTGTCACAAGACAATAATATCATCTTGTAATAGCAGATGTGTCATATTTTAGTGAGTATTGCATATACACTACGAAAAAATGCAACTCTTAAAAATTCCCATAATTAGCTATTAATAATTCATTCTATAACTTTGGAAATTAATGTGCAAAGTGCAATTTTAAATAACCAACATTTTTATACGCCATTTGTGGTGTACAATATTTCTTCTCTATAGTCTCTAGTACCCGAAATATACTCTCAGCAGCACTGTCCAGTCGTCCAGTGTGATTAACTAAATTAATTTAGCGACGAGAAATCGTATATCTTATAACCTATGCATATTGTATGTGATGATTTCAGTTATCTTCTAGTACCTATCGACTACCGAGACGCATCTATAATAATTGTTGCAATGTATCATATAAAATGATAACGCACACGGCAGTTTTTCGTTTTAATAATATTGTTATCGTGTATCGATCGGCGGTTGACCGCGGCGGAAACTCCCGTTGATTGCTTTTATTTGTTCGTAACATGGGGGACGGTTGTGAAGGAGGATGGCATTATTGAATTGGAGCAATGCAACTCTGTTCCATCCACGGGCGTGTAGTTTGTGTGATTATATATTATACTATATCATTATCATGTGTTATTTATACACCGTTGTAGAGAAAAAATGTCGTGCGGATACGACGATAAAACCGGGGAAAACTAATAAATTATTGTACGTATATTGTTGTATCTGCACAGTGTCGACTAGAAAAGGGGGACGGCGAAAAAGATCGATGACGCTTCTGATCGTCGGCGACGGGGTGGGGGTTTGCGGTCTTCCTCCCCTTCCGTCCGTCGGCCACCGCGCGAGGGGTCGCGCCACGCGATCTGAGGCGGGCGGCGTTCCGCTTCGATTCGATTCGAGGCGGTGACTGCGACAGTGCGACGTGAACGGCTGTGCCGTTTTTAGTGGCATCTGCTGTGAATTAGAGCGCAAGCGCCGCCGCTGCCGCCGATAATACACATTTACCGCGCGCACAGCAACAGGAGCGAAACTGCACGGGTTGTCCCAGGTCAGTGATGACACACTAAATTTTAACACATTTGGCCGTTGCCACCGACGACGTCCGTCTGTACGCACACACACTCGCACGTCGTGTGAAACGTGCATGTGCCAATAATAACGCATCGTTTTGCGCGGGATACACACACTCGCGCGCGAACGAGCGTAGACGTAGACGGCCGATTAATGGTTTTATTAAATACAACAACATGTATACAGATATTATAATATTACGTGATATTATGATGTATTGCGCGTTGTGGTGTAGCAATAAATAGGTTTGGCTTTTATAAATATTATTGTAATACCTATGTTAAGTTGTGCAGTTATTGGGCACAAGTGTGCGATGCGCTTTTGACCCGATGCACCGCCGCCGCCGCCGCCGCCGCCTCTTCCCTTCACCTCGCCAACAACCCCGTCTATTTTAATATTTTACTAGATATTACAATGATAATTCAATCGTTTACTTACAAATACCTATACCTATATCGAATAATAATTTTATAGTCTTAAGACTTGTGTATTGTTTGATAAACCAAATGCATTATCATTACGTTTCTATCGCCGTTGTGTGGGCTTATTAACAGTGTATAATATACATTTTATTTAAAACTATCACGTGAAACGTGAGACGTGCTTTTACCTACGAGCCGTTGTGCGATATTTGGTTACGATACGGACATCGAACCCCGCAACAGGAACACGTGTCTGCACCGCACTTGCACTTACCAATTTACCGGTCTTAATTTGTATTCAATATCCAAAATAACTTCAATTAAATTGTTTAAAAAATATGTGTAAAAAGTCTGCATGTTGTTGTGTGCTTGAAATAAACATTAAAATATTATTATAGTGCTTTCCTGATGTTATATCTTGGCCAAGACTTTACGCCTTTGAAGAAATCATTTGATACCGACGCAATTGTTTTTCAATAAAATTAAACTATTGTGAATATTGTAGTTTATAAAGCATTTTTATTTACGTTCGTTAAATTATAGTTTGTTAAAACTTAGTTATTACATAGCTACATAGGTGTTCTTTGTTATAAACACATTGTTTTTTACACAGTTGTGTTTATAACTTATTATCCGATTGTAATTTAATGAATATTTTCATGTAATCATTTTAATTAGTTACAAAATATTGAAAATAAAATAATGCTTGTACTATTATTTCAATGTCAATAAATCCATTAATGTTATTTCAATTATCGTTTGAAGATAATAAATTTTAAAAATATCCTTTATTAATGAATATTCTTCAATCGTATTATTTATTTTAATATTACACTTATTACCTCTATTACATATGTATTTCAGTATTTGGTAGTTAATTTGCAAATGTATTTTTAATTATTTATATAATTAAAACACTTCATAATAATATAATACAAATCGTTTGTCTATTTACTTCATTCAGCAGTAATCTGTAAAATATTTGTATAATTATTAGTATTCTATTTTAGTTCAGCCTATAGTATTAAGTTTATTATACAAATCTAAAAATAATAAATAATGTTAAGTCTTATCAATCATTATCGCATAATATGTAGTGTTTATCATTAAAATAACCTGTTAATTAATTATGAGCATTAAAGCCTACAGGAAACATAATTATGAATGTCATGAGTATATGATTGTAGGTATGTTTGTTTTATATTAAACTATTCTTGTTTATACTTATATGAAGTATATTTAAACTTGTTTTGGATTTTAAATTTCTCATTTAGAATTTATGCTCATTTACCAAAAAAATGTTATTAGAATTAGATTTAATTTAATAATTTACTCATCGCACATGTAAATTATGATGAACACATCTTCAATAAATATGAGACTAAGATTAGTTCTATAAATTATATTATCAAATTTAATATTTGTACTAATAATTTGGTTTATTATTTTAAGAGAGGAGTTATCTGGGCTCTCAGTATTATTATAGGTATTAAGATTATTATATGTATTGTATGTTATTTTTTCATTGATTATGAAATGTATTACTTTAACATATTTTATCATGTTATCAAATGATATTGGTATATTTAGATTTTAAGTAAGCTTGGCACTAGGAAAAATTTAGGCAAGTACTAAAACTAAGGTTCTTTATTTCATATACTGAATTAAATCATTAAATCAGTCATAACACTCATAACCTTAATATTTCTTTGCTCTATAAAACAAAAATTAACTAACCAAGACCAAAATTATATTTATTTCTTACGACGTATTAAAATATAATTGGTTTCTTGGAATATGGTTAATTGTTGTAACGTTTTATAGTAAAAAAATAAAATAATTAATAATATAATATTACGTATATAAATAATATTTGTAAAGTAATTTCAAAAAGCTAATCGTGGGCGTTAAACATAATAAAAAAATACGATCACTATTTTACGTTCTTATTTCAATCAAAGAATAGCAAAACCACAATAAAAGTTAATATTTTGTTCATAGGTGCATTATAAAAATTAAATGTTACTTGTGTGTCTTTTAATTTAATGCCCACGCATTGGACAGCTTAATTTTTATTTTAGCTTAATTCATGTGCATATCTTATTTTTTATTTTATTTCATTCATAACTAATAAGTTGTATATTGTGTTTGTTTCAGGTATGTTTTATTTTTTATTGAATATCCATAAGTTGATATACAATATCGAAATTCACAATTTATTTATTTACGTGGTAAGTAAAAATTTAAATCAACATGACTAGATGTTTTTTTTCAATGAAAAACACCTATTAAGTAAACATTAGTCATTTACTCAATTCTAATATATATTAAGTGAATTGAATTTTTACAGGTCAATACTTTTTAAAAACGTGATAGGAATTATTTAATTTGTTCCTAGCATTGTCATTATTATTGTTCTTGTTTTAAAGGGTTTACTTTCTTGTTTTAAATTATCTTATATTTAAAAGTAGTTAGTAAATATGAAAAATAATTTGTCCGTGTATAGACATTTTAAGTCTATTGTTCTTTATGTACGTGAATGAAAATTAAATTAACTGGTTAATACTTTGTAATTATTTAAAACCATTACAAATATTAAAATTATCGTAACAAATGATATACACGCCAATTTTACTCAAAATTACTTTCAATGTATGTTTGGATTTTGGTTGGTTTATTGAACTTTTTTTTTTAAAAAATTATCAGAATTTTTGAATTACTTGGACTGTAGTCACTATAGGTATTTAATATGAATTCAAAATTATTTTTTTAGCTTTGCAAGTCGTAATAGATCAATTATTATTTCTTTTGTAAATAATAATTAATTGTACATTTGCATTATTCACTGTACTTAATATTTTCATTTGTATTTTATATGCTTTCGTGGTTGTTAATGAAATATATTTCTGAAAAATTTGATTATTATTAATTTATGTTTACATTCTTTGTGTACACATGTAAGCACACCAATGTGCTTGTGAAAAGTTGTTATAATGTAGAATTGTATTACTGATATTCGTGTAATCAGATGATTTACCTTTTAATTTTAAGTATAAATGGTAATCTATCAAATTGTATTTATATTTTTCGACGATTTACCTCACATACTAAAATAGTACTTTTATCTCGTTATATTTTTTTAATCTACAACACTTAATATTTTTCAAAAAAATTAGTTGAGAATATATACTTAATTCTTATGGGCGTGGAATAACTTTGCTTTAAAGCCTAAAAGTATTTGTAAGTATTTATGTGACACATTGTTTTGATATTTTTGTCTTGTCATTTTTTTTGTCTAAACTGGCAAATTGACCTCCCATATTATTAAAGAAGTATAATAAAAATATTGAAAATATTTCGTATATCTATTTTAAGATGTAAATGTTAAACATGCTATTTATTATAATACATTGATGTTCTTATCTTTAAATCTGATAATAAAAGTCAACTTATTCTTTTTTTGATCGAGAATCCACATTTTTTTACCATTTATAGAAATACATTATCATGTACCCGTATATATATTATACATTTATACATAATAAACAAAACACACTTTGGTGTATTTTTCTTTGATGTATAATTCATTAATTAATAAAATAACATAATATTAAATACAACTATAGTATGCCTGTACAAGCAAAGAAAATAATAACTATTGTAATGATGGTAATAGTTCGATACAATCATCCTCGTTGGTTAATGACTTAATTTTGTTGCTTTTTAAATGCTATACATTAGAATTTTATCATTAAACAATTTTTTTTTTTTTATTGGATTGAATATTAAAATAATTGAGTGACACAGATGTTGTGTTTGCACTGCAGGAGAGGAATGTCTGTTTGCATGACGTTTGATATTGTATTTTTTTTCAATATATTCATTTGACAGTGACATTGTAAAAGATTGTCTGAAAAGGCCATAAAGGTTTTGATGTCACTTCTCACCACCTACTTATTATATCTATTTTTATTATAATGACGTGCATGCGTGTGTGCGTGTTTGTTTTTATTGTTTCTATTAGTGCTGTGATTGTTGTTAGTAACGAGTTTATGTTTAATGTATATTATAATATATATTTATATTATATACAATAAAGGTTTTTTGGTCTCTCTCTTTCTAACCAGTCCAACCTAAACACATTATGAGAGTTCTCGTGACGTGAATTTGTGCAGTGCAGCAGCAGCGATGTCATGTAATATCTACTGCCCCCGCACTTGTCTTCCTCGTTCCGGCCTTGGGTCCGGTTAAACTGCCAACGTTGCATCGCGTGTATATTCTATGTGTGGGTGTGTGCGTGTCTGTGCGTTTGTGCAACAACGAAGAAGGTCGATGCAACGCCCAACTTTTTTAGTGTGTGTGCGTTGTGTGCACTGTGCCATTTCGGTTGTCTTGTGCAATGGACCACAAAGATGTTATATGGAGGGTCTAGACCAAGGCCATCGTTATCACTATCGTTTCTCCTCTATCTCTCTCTTTCATGTTGTTTCTAGTATACTGATGTATAGTGTATATAGTAATCGCCTTACACATGCATCCACCGTACCGTTACAAAAACCATACGTGTGTATCGGATTTCCGTGATCATTTTACGTAACATTCGTATTAAAAAAAATAATATCATCTACAACTTGACTTATAACCGCTCACGTGGGTTATATTCAAACATACCAATAATATTAATCATAAATTAATCGGTATCATGATGCTAGCATAATTATGATTTTATTAATTAATTAATTTTATTTCACCGTACATTGTCTGTTTGTTAATACATTCTTACGTTTAGTTATTTATCTAGATTTATAATAAATCAATGCTTGAGTATAAATGAACGATGCTCGATATGCCTTCATCATCGATAGATTGACCTTTTTATTTTTATAATTTTCTGTAAGTTTTTATTTTTACACTTAATAGGTCGTCTTTATGCGCTCATTAGCTTTAAAAATAACTAATTTGTAATTGATTGAAGAAATGGTCACTTTATTGCCAGACGTCATAACCTGTTAACATAATGATGTAAATTTAAAATCTTATATAATGCAAAGATTTAGCGAAAGTAAAAATAATTAATGATGTATAAGTACATATTTATTTTAAAAGTTGCAAAAACAAAATATTCTGTGTAGCGCTGATTCAGGTATTAGTGTTATTATACATGTAGATAGCCATACAAGATATATGAATGCAATTTTAAATATATGTGCTATCTTTTATAAAAGAGTGTTGTATTGACTACGTTTAAACACTGGTTTATATGTCATAATTCCTAACAAAAATATTTTATTTACTTAAAAATTCGACTACTTTGTTTTGTAATGTAATGTTATCGCTTTTGAAATAATCTCTATTTTAAGTAAATATTTATTGGATATTTTGAAATAGTTCTTCAAAATATTGTAATAACTCAAGTTTGAGTTAACTTTGAGAAAAATAACCACGTGGTACGCGATATTATTTATTAAGATCAATTAGAGAAATATCAGAAAGGATAATTTTTTCTCAGATGTTTATAAATTATTAAAAAAAATTATTCACATTACTTATACTATTATTATAATAAAAATGTATTGTATAAAATAATATTTAAATATTTTTCTAAGCAAATTTAACTTTAACTATGTTAGATAATATTTTTATTTTATATAATAAATATTATATCGATTAGTTGAATGTAATTATGCCAATTACATATTTACTCAACAAATTATATTTCTATGAAAGTTTTATCATACTATTTTGTATAATTATTCACATTTATAATTTGACAGGTAAAAATATATTACGTATATAGTTAAGTTATAAAAATACCTAAGTAATAAATCAAATTTATGACACCTATTAAGATGGAAAAATATCAATGGATTAACCCAGATAACCATAGTATTGCCGTTGACGACCAGAAACAACCAGTTTTAAATGAAAATGGTGATCTTATTGTATTGGACAACGAAAGTAAGTAATGTTTAAAAAGAAACTTCTAGAAGTATATAAATACACTATTCGTTAGGCATAACTAAAATGTTATTTTTCACGTCTAACTGTCTAAAGAAAAAATTATACATGGAACATTTTTAGGTGGAAAGTGTATATCAGTTCCTAACTCTGAGGATATATTAGAAATTTTTGGTTTCGGATATCATGGGAGCTATGGGTCACCCCCTGGGTCACCAAAAGATTCGCCTGAACATGATATGAAACCAATTGTTCAAGTCTTGACAGGTAAATATTTCTATATTATTAGAATGTGCATATTTAAATGTTTATCCGTTTCATAATGTGATTTGTGAAAAAGTATATTATAATGTGTGAAGTGAGTAATGAGTTTGTGGGTTTCCGACCATTTACCTGTTGTTCCATAATTCACGATCGTAAATCTGTTGTTGTTTGGTTGAAGGTCTCATTGATTAATGTACCTACGATAATATTATTATTGACATTCGTTGATGACTTATCATTATGAAAAATGCAAATTCTTGTCAATAGTAGATTGAAGAAATACATAGTTAATGCTTTTTCACAATATGTTAGTATTTGTATTTTGATTCAAAATTATTTTTGTACAGAAATGTACAATTTTTTTTTATTACATATTCATACAGACATACAGTTTTATAATATGTTATTACTGTTATTAAAATTATGTCATAAGTCAATATTTTTTCAATTTGAATCACAGTAACTTATCCTAATAAACGCATATTCATATAAATTAATAATTCATTTATTTTATGAAAATGAACTATTTGCACGTATTGTACTAATTCATTATAAAGCGCCATAACCTTGAATTTAAAATCTAATTTTATTCGTTTAAAATTTAAATTAATTATAAAGTATAGGTACAGATTGTGCTTAATATAATTATATGTATAATTATCTAAGTGAATATATTTTTAATTTTTTTGTTATAAAAATTTAAATATTGGAATTCGATTGGAGTAGTCAATTTATAAAACAGCGGGTAGATTGTAGTTGTAAACAATTAATAAAGTTTTCATGGTTTCATTTTATTTCACAATTTTATCGCATATAATAGTTGTTTTCAACTCCATTATTTTTATTTATTTATATAGTCATCATTTGATTGTAAAACGTGTAATAATAATATATACAACGAGCCTTACAACTTTTTTTGATAGTGTTATATAATTTGTTTTTACTATACAGACATTCTCATACCAATATCAGTATTTAGTACATGTTTAATTTATAACAGCATTTTTATAAGTAAACATTATTTTAATGATAAAAAGTAAATTTTATTGATAATAATTTTGTACGTGCTTGTTTCATTAGATAAAACCATATAACTGAACAAATATTTAAAATGTTAAATTTCGGTCATACCATTTTTTTCATCTTATTTTCCTACCTATTCAAAATTGATAGCTAATAGCTACATCAAGTTCACATTTCTCAATAATAATTGTCGCAGTAATGGCAAGATATTTTATGTAATAATGATTTCGACCGTAAAATTGAATTGATAATTATTCGATTGCATTATGAAACGGATTATTGTATTATATTTATGAACTTTAAAATACCTAATGGGCCGATTTTATTTATTGAAAAGTGATCAGAGATAAAGGGCACTTGTCGAGTGTGACTTGTGGTTTAGTTAAAATATTGTACCTACTTAGTGTATTATTGAAGTTAGTTATCACTTTTTTAGCAAATTAATTGTATATATTATTTCAAATTAATAAAGACTGCCATATTATTGTACAACTACTATGTGTTTATTACTGTTACACTATATAATGCCGGTCTCTTAGCATAAGGTCTATGGATATATTTTTAAATGCTGTCTACCACTAAATTTAGAGGGTTTCTCATACTATCCTGTCGGTTAACATAATATACACATATTATACTACTTATTTGCCAGTATTTAAACATAAAAAGTTAAAATATTGATATAAAAATAATTACGATATCTCAGATTTTGATAAAAACAAAAACAACATATTTACAATTAAATTTATATGCAATGTTATATTTTATTAAAGAAAATTAATTATTTCAAAAACTATTAGTATACCTAGGTATATTACAGTCTGTTATTTGAAATTATTTTAGATTTTAAGCGGAATGATTAATGTATTATTTTTATGTGTATACACAATATATAAATATATATAAAAAAAATTCTTCGATTTTCAACTTTGGGGATGATTTTTGGTAGTAAATTAGATTTAATTGATACTTTGGAAGAGGTCAACATTTAATATTAACAATATTTTTTTAAATCAGTGTCTAAAGTTTAAAAGTTTAACAACATTCAATGTTCACGTATAAAATAACGATTTCTCATCTCAAACGTTTTATTATAATTATGAAACCAAAAACTAAAGATATTTTAAATGTTCAACGAATGTTTTATTAAAATTGTCTATTACCTTGTAATTAGGATGACAGACTTTTGCTCAGAATCGTTTTTCGTAAGCAGTGATTTATCATTAAATTAAAATTTAACACATCATTAAAATTACTTGATCTTCAATAGATACATTCGACACCTACTATAGAATGAAGCGGATACCTATCCCCCTTCTTTTAATAAAATTTTAAGTTATTGTAAAACATTATTTGAAAAAATAAAAATGTATAATGATATATTTTAATTTTTTATTTGTATGGTGTGTTACCCAGTCTACACAGTAACATGACGATGATATAATTATTAAATTTTTTATCGTTTTTAATAACAACACACATATTGAATTCCTTATTCTAGATCCAAATATTTTACAAAATACATCGATGTATTAAAATTCACTTAAAAAAAAATTAGTTTATTAATTGTAAAGTTTTGATGAGGTGTAGTGGATAGTCTGTATAATGTTGATCCACTACACTGTTAATCGTACGTTAAAGTTTAAATACTTGTTTGAAACTAAATTTTAATACATCGAATAGTAATCCATAAAATATTTTTTACTTTAAAATGAGAAATTAATAATGTACTTATATATTGTCATTAAATAGTAAAAAATACTTTTCAAAAGTGGTATTTTGTAACGACTTAAAATCATGTAAAAATAATATTAATACCTAGTTTTTAAATTAATTGGTATTTTTTGTTAGAAAAATCGCCCGGTCTTATAACATCAATTAATTACGTATCATACGATATGTTTTCTTCGCTGTATTGCAGACGCCGACCAACTGTTGTGGAGCATGAGAACGCCGTGTCAAAAGGATATCGAAGCGACCAGGGAGATGCTGTCACTAGTGGCTTCTAAAAAATACCAGGATATGTTCAACGATCAATGTACAGTTAAAATTCGGGTGTGGAAACGAATATGCGAGGAGCTGATGTCTAAAGGGTACAGGATCGCGGACTCGGTGAACGAAGGCGGCATCAAGTGCCACCAGAAATGGCGTAACCTGGAGAAGTCGTACAGGAACTACTTGATCAGCTCGACGGACCCGAACAGTTCGGCGCCCAAAAAACCGCCGCCGTACTTCGAAGCGCTGCACGACATCCTCAAGCGAAAGAAGAAGTACGCGAACGCGGCCACGTACACGCAGACCGTGGTGGTCGGCGACGACATGACCGAACCCGACGCGTCGAGCATCAGTGGCATTCATCACATGAACGACTCGGACGCGGCGCTGGACGACATGGACGACGCGGACGGCGCGAACGACGACCACTGTTACGTGGTCAACAGTTCCGGCCACGTGTCCAAGCGGTTCAAAGTGGACCCGCTGACCATGTGCTCGACCACCAGTGGCGGCAGCGGCGGCGGTAACGGCGGCGGCGCCGGTGTCGGTTCGTCGTCGTCCCGCCGGCTTCATCCCGCCCAGCAGCCAGACGCGCTGGAACAGATTCTGGAGCAGATGATCCGCGTGCACCGGGACACGTTGTCCATGCACGATCGGCACTTCACCAGGATGGAGAAACTGATAAAGGAAAACGCGATACAGACCAAGCGGCTGGCCGACGTCATGAGTCAGTTGTTGCACGGCAGCCGGCCGGACGACTGCGGTAACAGCAAGAACAACGACAAGTCGACCGGAATGACTTCGTCGGACGTCGAATGATCGTGTTCGGTCTCGCGCGACTATTAGCATTTATAATATGAATAAAGTGTATAATATCATATTCCACGGTTAACGGACGCAGTGCTGACGAAGAACGTCACACTCATTGGCGACCCTTTCGTAATATTTATTTTTTTTTATTTTATTTTTTCCATTTTTCCGTACCGTACCGAATTGTGTACGCATTTTTAAGGTTTTCTTTTTACTGCCAGTGCTCCCCTCCCCATCCCATTAATTTAGACTCCCGATTTATTTATAATGTAATTCAAAAATTGCTTAAATAATATTGAATGATAAATACTTACATTTATTTATATAGTTTAAATTCATGTTATAAAATATGATTTTAAGTGGCAATCCCTTTTCTTATGTACATGTATAAAGTATAAATACCCGTACGCGGTTATCGTCGTGTTCGGAGTTTTATTCTCCTTACGTGTATTATCCCGTATTAATTATTAGTTATTTGAAACCATTATACCTATTATATTATATGATAATAAAATCACTATTATATCATGCATATTATTTACATTTCTTCAGATCTATAACATTGTGAGCCACTACATACGTAAGTATAGGTGACAGTGCAAGTCACCTCGCGACTGCAGCATGCTTGTCTTCGGTTTCCGTGTTTTTTTTTTTTTTTTCATCAATAAACGGCCAAAAGCAGTTGTTACAAACCTTGTATTTATATGTTATTAAATGAATTATTTACCCTACTTACTCGACTACCTTTACACGATGTGAGTATAGCTACAGCAGTCTGTTGCATATAGATTTCTCGGTCTTTTCTGACCAAGAAAACCCAGACACTAGTCAAACGCGTGTTACCGTAATTACTATCGTCATTTAAAAAATAGGTATGCGCTCCTCTACACATAAATTACTGTTTTTATGTTTTTTTAAAAGTCTTTGAAAATAATTTCACTGTGAATTAAACGCCACCATTCTTAATTTTGTCATTTATCTATGTACTAAAAAGTCACAATGCAATTTTTCTCACACCATAATAAATTAACCAATGTATTGAGTATGAGTCCTGATTTTACTCTAATTCTGAGAATTTAGAAACTTACAATTAAATCAACAAGATTGATTTTATGATTTACAGTTTTGATGAACATAACCGTTCTGTTAACTAATTTATGCATTCTCTAGTCATCACTGTTATTTGAATTATAATTGTTTAAATTTTTTAACTTAATTTTTAAATATATAAATACAGTTGTGTCTAGGTGTCTCGTATGGAATAATAAATAAACTTCTTTTCTAGGGTCTAGATGTCTTAAGCATATAATTTATATTCAGATACCTTGCATCACTCGTTGTCTAAAGTTTGTTTTGTTGTCACCATAATATCGTTATTTTCACTGTTGGTTATGTTATATTTAGTTGTTAATCATCTAATCTTCTTAAACAAAAATTAACCCCTGTGATATTAACTGATTCGCCTGGAAAATAATTCATCGATCTATATCATTTTAGTATGTTCAGTGTTCACCTATTTGATTTTTTTTCCAAACATATTGACTTTAAGTCCACGGAAAGGGACCAATCGCAATTGTATTTTTATTTATGTTTGTCCATAGAATTGCAATTGCTTGACATATATTGATATTACATTATAAGCTTCATAATTTAACGAATGTATGTGAATTTAGTAGTAGTTGGATGGAAAAAAAGTTGAATAAAATTATGCGTGAGTAACCCGCGATTATAAAGAATTCAATGTAAATCGCAAATTCTAGGCCGGTGCCAAGACCCGTTCATACATTATATAATACAATACCTAATAAACAATATTAATATACGTTCGATGAAGTCGGCGCAGCGTTTATACGAATAACATTTGGTGTTCAATATTATTAATTAATAATTATTATATATTATATATGTGTGCGTGTTATTATTATGTGTGTGCCTGTTAACCGCACGTCATAAAAGAGTTGAGTCGGCTTAAAAACTAAAATAACGAAGGGTAAAAAAACAATCTGCGCCATCGTGTGTGTGTGTGTGTGTGATACTATGTGTGAACGTAAATTATTTTATTGCAATGAAGGGGTCGCACTAAATCCTCATTACCGGTACTGCACTGCCCCGCCAGTCGACGATCGCATTTTTTTATTTTTTTTATTTTTGTCATTCGTACCGCACACCATATTATAATATTATAATACGCGATGTAATGTGCAACACACGCGGTACTTAACGTCCGCGTCGCGCAAAGGGGAAATCGAACACAATACCGCGACGGCGGCGTCCATAACCTGGGACAAGGTCGATTTCCTTGTCCCTGAGCCCCACAATGTCGCGCGCGCTTCTCTGTGTGCGTGTCTGCGTGTAAGCGCTCTTCTGAGGTTCACGACCCTGCGGCGTGCAGTGTGCTTATAAATACAATACAAAAAGTCGTAGAAACCACTCCGATGAGGTGAGTAGGTTAACTGCCTATGCCCAACTCACCCATATACGTGTAGCCTTTTATGTACTATACGGAGTGATCCATTTAATGCGAAATATTCATTATATCAGAAAACAACGTAATTTTATGTTGTTAAAAACAATAGTTTTGAAAAAACAATGATATTTTTCATTGTTATCATATTTTAAGTTTTTTCTCTTTTGAATGCATATATATTTTTAATTTTATGTTAAAAAATTGAACTTTATTTCGGAGTATTTCGATTTATAAAAATCGAATTTTGGAATTTCATCAATTGTAACTGTAATCAAGCATAAGTATATCCTCCAAGTCCCGAGGGTTTCCACATTGGTGGGCCTCCCTCCTCACGTTATTTTATGTTGTTTTTATCTTAGTACAGTTATCAAATTTACTTATTGTATATAATTTTTTTTTTTACAAAACAAATCAGACATTTTATAAATAATGATCTCGATTAATCTCTCTTCTTTAAGCTTGACAGCTTGTGTTGAAGAGAAAGAGAAAGAGAGAGAGAGAGTTATTATATAATAATGTTTTAGAATATAAATGTATTTTTGTTGAAGTAAAATATAAACATTCAAATTGTTTATGAGCGGAGACGATTGAATCTCTATACTCGTAACAATATTCCGCTTCGAAATATAAAATTAAAAATGTAAATTGTCATTCTAATGAATAAAAAAAAAAAAGTTGAAACTTGATTTTTTTATAGAAAAACATTTTTATTTAACAACTTGAAATTATTTAAACATTAATAATTTTTTAAATAATTAGTGTTTTGCATTTAATGAATCATCCGGTATACGGCTGGAACCCGTCTTACATCATACTCGTATTATAATTCTTCCTTCTATATTATGTTTTTTATTGCGTATACAGCCTATGAGATTCTAAACATACAATAATATTTTATTATCATATGCGTTGTATGTATTATAAGTGTATAATAATAGACATTCTATAGGAAGGATTTATGTTCTTGTGTGGGGACCGCACGTTGCAGGTCTGTAATTAGATTTGCCGTCTATAAGAACAAAAAAAAAATAAAAATATTTTAAAAAAAGTTTTTAAGTTATAATAAAACAAACGTATTGGTACATAATATGATAAGTAAAAAAATGACAGTTAAAAATTTGTAATTTTCTTTCTAGTTGTGACTTGAGAGTTGAGAATTTATTTAGTTACATTATGATACCTACATAATTTATGGTGGAGACAATGAAATTCAGATTATTTTTGAAGTTTTGATGTTTAATACACACAATTAAGGCATTTTGCTAATATGCTAACATTATAAATTAAGGTATGACAAATTAAAATATATATATTACATAAATATAATATAAATTGTGGAAATTAAACAATGAAATAAAGATAGGTCACTTTTTAAATATATTTTAATACATGATTTTATTCTAGGAATAGGTACTTAAAAATCACTAGAAGTTATCCTGTATGAATGTATTTTATTTATTTATATTGCGCGTGGGTCCAAGAGAGAAGACAAATACCTATTGCGCTAACATCTTTTAAGTTTATCTATTTAATCAGCTATAGAATATATTATTAATTAATATCCATTTCTTGGTAGTTTCGTATTGTACATGATAACACAATCATATTTGATGATCAAATAAATTCTGAACAAAATCTAGTTTGACTACTGGCATACTTATTAGTTATTATTGCGTAAAGTGTATATTATTACTGTACGTATTTCGTTGCTGCTTTGATATCTATACAATATACACTTTGATGCATAGTAATTATAATAATATTTCATGTTATGTAGGCGTGAATGTACATACCATGTGTCAGTGTGTGTTTTGTAACTTATATATACCTACGTCTAATCTCCGTTTCCCTGCGCAGTTGTTAAGTCAAATATCGTTTGCCAGACATTGAGACGTAGGTACCTAATGTGTTCTATGATTTCAATACAATTTATTTATACTTTTAATAGAAGTGATTTTTTTTTTATTATATCTAAGGATGCAATCTTGAAAGTTCTCACATGTCTCGTGTTTAAATTTAGGTTAGTTAGTCTACAATTCTACAATTCTACATACTTTATATTTAATACTACCGGCTACCGCACGGAGTGCAGTGATATTGTTTGAACTTAAAATATTGTATCAGATGTTTGCTCGTATATTGGTATGTAAATTCTGTTAAAAAAATTATCAATGCTATGGAAAAATGGATTTAACTTTCTTGTATACAACAACAACAATTTTCTACTGTCCTACTTATTCTTGCACTTCGTTATAATGTATTAAACTCCTTTTGTTTAAAAAATTTGCTTTAAGTTTCTTAAGAACTGTTTCCTTCTATAGATGTTAGAATTTAGTAGCCCGACTAATTAGTCGCGAGTACGTGATTAATATACTTTAAAATTATGTATATGAATATAATACACCTATACAATTAAGCTGCAAATGATGCCAATAGTATAGCAACTAGCTGCAAGTGAACTTATACGAGTTATACGTAAATATATGTGACAGTATCATTTATGGTAACTATACGTATTACGTATATATATACATTATTTCAAGATTCTGCGTTTGACAGTTCAATTTGGTAAGAATAGATTATGATTCTTGATCGATACGTGTTTAATAGTTAATACATAAGTTGGCGCTTGTTGTTTACACCGTGGAAAATAATATGTAAATTTTTAGAGGAAATATTATCATAAAACTTCGACGAAATGTCATTCTTTATTTTCTTCGTAAATGTATCGAGTTAATAATCAAATCAGATATTTTACACCGCGGTCTGTGAATAACTTCTATAAATATAATGTATTGGTAAAGTAACTAAGCATAGAATAATATAATCAATAATCTATAGCTATACATACGCTTCTTTTAACTTTATTCGGATAAAATAACATATAGCTGCATAATATATATGTTATAAATTATAATTAATACTGCACAATATTATTTTTGTATATCTATGTCAAACACGAACAAATTATAAATTACAATCCCTCATCCTTATAATTTTTCAAATATCTGAATAACTCGAAGTTTAACATCATATTATTATGATATAATATAATA